CGACGCATTCATAAGAAGGCTTGATCTTACTTTGCTTGCTGGTCATACATTTTAAAGGCAACAACAATTTATATAGTGTATATATGACTTTGAACAATGTGCATGATCTGACAGCATCTATCTGTAAATAGGGTTTTCAAAGGCTCTGCCTCTCTCCCTTATATATACTGAATTATACTGAACAACTCTCTGTACTCTGCAAGACAGAAAATTTTCAATTTATTTGATATTCTGCTTTCAGTAAGTATCTTCTTTGTCTTTTATAACAGAAGTCGGTGGGCTATGCCAGCGGTGGCCTTTTTGGTAGCAAAAATAAAGCAGCTGCAGGCAACTGCCTATCTACGACTTTTGCCTCTTTTTCATTGGAGTTAGGAACTCCCATGGGGTGACAGCGTCTATAAAGGCAGCTAGGCTGAGCTTTATGAAGTATGTTGTTTTCTTCTAGATACTGCATGAATTACATTTGTTAAATCGTCGCATTCTTTGACACCACTCGCACGTTAACCTCACCAAGCAGATATTCGTGGAAGCTGTTCCTGGTTTATCCTTAAACATCTAGGGAATTCGTGCACTCTTCTATTCTTCGGCAGTTTGCCTCCTTCGGCAGACATCTGGAGTATAATACACGATGGTTCGTTCAGTTCATTATAAAAATTAAATCGTTACTGCCGTTATTCCACTCGGATCAGGTAAACTGGAAAGCTTTACTCTGAGAATTTCGTTTTTAATATGTGCTGATGGAAAGTACAGGCCCCCGGTGAATGAGGCGGGGGAGCGCTTACCTGAAAATGTGTAGAAAGAAAGAGGAAGAGCAACTGAATGTAAGCAGGAAGAATGTATACTTTAGTTCTGTTTTCAGTCCTAAATGTTCACTGTGAAGATCCAAGAGTGGGAATTGAAATATCCAACACCAGTGTCTATCCTCTTTGTTACCCTGCTCATACAATAAAGACCTGTTCGTACCCAGTTGCGTCGACTGAGATTGGAAACCGCGTAAGTCATATTTAAGCGGAGCTTCTATGGGTGTCACGCAGGACTTTTGTTGATGTAGGTTGAGCTAATTGTGAAATACTACGAGTAATGCATGTACAAGTTTGTTCGGTATCAGCGCCGAGCTCTTCGTGTGAAACACTCATCTTGCGGAATGTTACCGATCAAGCTGCATCATTTCATTACAGCCAACCGAGGATCCACATCCTGGGAGCAAGATATAATGCTAGTCACAGCCCTGCCAGCTAAGTCCCCGGAAACCCGTCGAACTTCCAGGGAGATAGGTGGTGATCTGGGGATGATGACGGGGATAAAC